TTAAATACCTTTGTTGATAGTTTTTTATTGTACAGGTTGAAGTTTAGGTAGTGACATGCTTCCTAGGTTGGAATCTTTTATGTTAGCATGAATCCACTAGCAAACAAGTAAAAACAAAAATACAGCACAGAAGGTAGTTCTTCAAAGTGTTTGAAGAATCTCTTCACTGTTTTTGAAAGAGTTGTTGTGAAATACATCATATTTCTATAGTAGATTAGCAGTGGAGTGAGCCTCTACTGGAAAGATGTCAGATCAGAAGCTTTCAGTGACGGTACTGATTTTTTTTAATCCAATGCAGAAGATCAGTTCCAAGCATTTCTTTAAATTCTGTAAAATATTTTTAACCATTTCTTTAAATATGGTAAGATTTTAGAAATAACTGAGGACAGATGCCCTTATTACTTAAGACTTTGAGAGAGGCAATTGGCTTCAAGACAGCTGACCCTAGACCTTTGATCTAGTTGGGCGGGATAGAAATCCAATAAATAAATAAATAAATAAATAAATGGGTGATGTTCTAACAGCACTAACACAGCGATAAAGTCAGTGTGTGAGGTCATTATAATTTGTAAGCAACATTTCTCTCCATTCCAGGTGAAACACTTTCTTCTTCTGTGTACCTTGTTGTGCACTAATTGAGAGGAGTGTTTTCCCCACTATCCAGATGTCATGAGTCTTAAATCAGTGCCAGCAGTTACAAACAATGACAAAAATCCAGAGTTAAATAAATAAATGGGCGATGTTCTAACAGCACTAACACAGTGCCTGTCCAAGTTACTGGAGTACTACTCCCTGACCCTCTGCTCACAGCCAGATCTATCCAGGTGTGATCTGCATGCCCACCCACCAGTGGCCTGACAAGGGGATATTCTTTGTGGTGGATGATGTATTGACACCCACCTTCCTGCTTTGATTTGGGTTATATATTAGTATAACCAACCTTCCTTCCTTCCTTCCTTCCTTCCTTCCTTCCTTCCTTCCTTCCTCAAGGGGATATTCTTTGTGGTGGATGATGTATTGACACCCACCTTCCTGCTTTGATTTGGGTTATATATTAGTATAACCAACCTTCCTTCCTTCCTTCCTTCCTTCCTTCCTTCCTTCCTTCCATTTATATACTGCCCATCTGGCTCCTCATAGGCATCCTTCAGTCTCGAGAGACTATGGTAATGTGCTCTGTATGGAGGACTTGGAATAGCGTCTAGTGTTTTGACGCTGTACACAAAGCTGGAGTGTCCTTTCCAGGGCATGAAGCCTGGGTGAAATAATATGGAGGATAAGCTGTTGCCCAAGCAGAAAATCCCCCCTCTCCGGAGTAAAAAGCACATGGCAACTGCCAACCAGTAAGATAACAGGAAAGGTATCAGAATAGATCCCTCTTTTCTATTTCTATTATAATTCAGCTACAAATTCTCTATAAAGAGAACACTGCCCTTTAATAGCACGAACCAAAGAAATTAGTGACAAGTCCTACTATGCCTTGTGGAAGAGTTAGGCTACTTTGCCTTAGGCAAGCTACTTGAAAAGGTTTGTTCCCCAGTTTCTCATTAAAGCTGCAGCCTTATTGCCTCCCACGAGTGGGACTGATGTTTGTGCAGGTACTCTGCAACACCCATATGGCTTAGCAACCTTGGGAATGGCACCCCTACACCGGGTAACAATACCTTGACCACACTTTGTGATGTCACTTTTTGTCAACTTTATAAAGCCTCCAGCAGAGACTTTAGGTAGTGTCATCATGTCCACAACAGAGGAAAGCAGTTTGGCAACAAGTCCTGAAAACCAAAAAGTGGAAAAGACAGAAGACCTTTCCTCCAACAAAACAACTGGGGTGAGGAAGTCAAATCTATTTCACGGGACTGAGCAGGATGCTTCCAACATAGAGGTGGTTGAGGAAAGTTTTCTTCCAGGTACTCCTTTTAAAAAATCTGCTTGTAGATTTCCTGAAACATCCTATTGGGCATCCTAAAATATACCTTTGTTTTTTGCATCCTAAAGGGCTGCCTTAACAGCCTGATTTCATTGCAGAAGTACAAAAACTTCTGCAATGAAGTGGTAACTTCTGAAAACCAAAAAGTGCAAAAAGCAGAAGAGCTTTCCTCCAACAAAAAGCCTGATTTCATTGCAGAAGCACCAAAAACTTCTGCAGTGAAGTGGTAACTTCTGAAAACCAAAAAGTGCAAAAAGCAGAAGAGCTTTCCTCCAACAAAACATCAGGTGAAGTATTCTAACAGTTTGGAGACTGAAATAGGTGGTGGGGAAGGATCACCAGTGGCCACAAGTTACAACGACTCTGAAGAAGATATGAAATTGGAGGCATGACACCATAATCAGAAATGGAAGATGAAAGGCAGCTTCATCCAGCACTGTCAGCAGCTTGTCCTTAGGAAAGGAAAACTCCGACTTCAAACCCTCACTGAGGCGCCGCCATCAGCCTCCATGCCATGAGTGAGCAGGCTGGGTAGGTGGGACTTGTTCAGCCCTGGAAGGCAGCCCATCTAGGAGAAGGAAAACTCTGACTTCAAACCTCCACTGCCTTGTGGCTATATCCACCGATGGAAAAGGCTTCAGGAGTAAATCTCGAGGCAAAATCCGGAGCCGGAGTCCAGGAGGCAGTTCATGTCATTCTGTCAACTCTTGCGACGTTGCTGAATCCAGTTGTATTGGCTCTTGCAGGGCTCATAACTCTTGTAAGCTTTCTTGTTATGAGCTCTTGTAAGGCTCATAACTCATAACTTTTGATATCCTGGCTGGCCAGAATATCAAATGTTATGAGTGAGAAGGTTGCACCCTGTTCTCTGATGGTGTTCCTGCCATTCCTTTACTTCATTTGTTTGGGAGATGCCTTCCATGCCAGTGTTACTCTTGGGCAAAGGTGATCTTGGGTTGGGGTCTATCTATCCATCCATCCAGTCAGTCAATCTATTTAATATAAAAAGGAAGCTGCTTGCCTGTCCATTTCACCATCAAGCACTACTTCTGTTGCTTACCATCCCAGTTCAAAAGTCTTTTAATTGAATTGAATTTTAATTTACTTTATTGTCATTGTACTTCCGTACAACGAAATTAAGTGCCATCTCCAGTACACATAATAATAAAACACAGACCATAGCATTCATAACATGAAAACATAGCACATTACACATAAAACACATCCCTCTTATTCACATCCACATCTTTCACTTCCGTACAACGAAATTAAGTGCCATCTCCAGTACACATAATAATAAAACACAGAACATAGCATTCATAACATGAAAACAGCACATTACACATAAAACACATCCCTCTTATTCACATCCACATCTTTCACCACATTCAATTTAATGAAAGATAATATACTAGACAAAAAAAATTCAAGTTAAATAAATATGGGAGAAAAAAACAAAGAAAAAGATGTAGTCACGGGAATAGAAATTTTGCACAAAAATATATGGAGTTTACTGGCACATCTTACCAATAGTGGGAAAGTTGTGATCAGTTCACTTGAAAATTAGTCATCCAGGACACTGGTTCTTAACCTTGGGTTGCTCAGGAGTTTTGGACTGCAACTCCCAGAAGCCTTCACCACCAACAGTGCTGGCTGGGGTTTCTGGGAGTTGCAGTTCAAAAACATCCGAGTAACAAAGGTTAAGAACCACTGATCCAGGATAACAAAGCCCATGGAGAACAAAGAATATCAGTGGGAGGGGGCTGTTGCTTCATTTTCAAAACACAAGCAAATTATTGTCATGGCAGTGAAGACTAAGAAGACTAATACAAAGTGTGGGACGTGGTATACAGTATTAGTATATTTGTACATATCTCTGCTGCCTTCAGTTGTTTCCATGAGCTGTTGCATGAAGAGACTATTCACTGATTTTTGGACTTTAGGACAGCTAAAGCTTTCCACCTACCTCAACTCCGCATTGGTAGTCAGTAACAATATGTTCCCTCCTTCTGCAACGCCTCCCAGCCAAAGAATGGCACTGGCTGAAATGGACAGGTGATAGCACCATCTTAAAAACCAATGAAACAAACAAAAGCTTTGAAGAGTAGCAAGAGTTAGAGGTAGCTGGCACAAAACCTTCAAATTCTGCTTCTGTGGAATGTTCAGTTTTCAAGATTTGATCTGAGACACTGAATTGGCTTCCAGATTGAGTGGGTGATTCATGCACGGGCCAATATAGTATCTTTCTTTCAGGAATCTAAAAAAGAACATATAAGAACTGCTAATTAGATTGTACACCATTTAATGGTATGGATTGTCAAGCTGCCTAACAGCTAGTAATCAGCTTGAATGCAAACATAATTTCTATAGCTAATTGGCCTTCCAAGGCACAATTGAGTGATTAATTGAAAGACTGGTTTCTTGTTGTTCTTTCCTGGCAGGTTGTTTTGGGCAGCTCAAAGCATATTGAGAAATCGTATCCCTACAAGTTTCTTCATCCTTGGCTGGGCACAGGACTTTTAACCAGGTAAAGCAAAACATAAACAGAATGTGGGTGGGCAGTACACCTTTTGCATGTGTGCCCTGGAATACAATCTGAACTGGGCTTTTTAGAGCTGATTAAACTATTCACTCCATTCACAAGTTTTTCTGAGTGCTGCACCAGATGGTGAAAGTGGGGCTGGGGTTGTAGGCTGTAAATCTGACATCAGTGTCCCTCTGAATTTGTGAAGATGCCACCCCATCCCCAGTGTGCATATATATATTATGCCTATAGAAGCCCCTTTCAGATCTTGTGAATGAGATTTGGGAATGAGGCAAATGGTCACAGTCCTTCTCCCACCTCCATTTTTTCAGCATTGCCTGTATCAAAGGTCGCAAAATTGTGTTGTTTTCTGGATTGCAACTTCCTAAGCAGCAAGTTCACTGGCCCTCTTAGCTAGGGAATTCTGAGATTTCTAGTTCAGAAAAGTAGCTTTTGCAAGGAAAAGTTGAAGTACAAACTAGCTTATATTAGTTTATAGCATCTGCAATCTTATTAAAAGGGTAGATAATCTGAGGTCATTATATGAAGTTCCTGAGATATGGGTAGTTTTGATACTGGAGGCTTTTCTTGAAAGATTGTGTTTCTTGAAAGATATATGTGATGGGTTTGTCAAGCAGGCAATTTGTAGGGAATAGAAACAGTTACATTCTACAAATACTGTACCTGGCTTACATTCTATGGCAATATTCAGGTTACAAAATAAAACAAAAAATTAACAAAAAAATCAACCCCTATCCCCCACAAGAAACCTATTCTGGGGTTTATATAAGAATATAGATCCAGTGCAAAAGCAGGAATATTCAGCCAGTTTACTGCAGGTTCTGTAGGAGCACCTGAAGCTGGAAAATGGTAGAGGGGAAGATTCAGGAAGATATACCTGATTGCTACCTAGCAGTGACATAAGGCAGTATTTAGAATTCACATTAAAACATAGTTTAGGTTCAAGAATAAGAGTCAGTGGCTGAAATATTTTTTCAGAAAGCATAACTTTTGGAGTTGAATAGATATAAGAAATCTCTGTAGAAGTTATCTGTTGCACATCAAGTTGTATGACATGGTTCTAAAGGAGTTTGAAGTTGATAAGTTTCCAACCAACCATCATGAACATTAGATACAGTTTGTCAACTTTGGACAACATGGCAATTTGCAATTAATCTAAAAGGTAACTGAAACCTTCCAAATTCCTTCTTGTGTTCATGGCAGAGGGGAGAGGGAAGGGTGAGGATGGAGGAATAGTCTGGCCTGAGGCCATAGTTTCAAGAACTGTTTTATTGTAATTGACATGGTTGTAATTAATTTTGTGTATTTAATTGTATATTTAATTACACTTTTTGTTTTGCAGCACTGGAGACAAATGGCGGTCCAGAAGGAAGATGTTAACACCAACCTTCCATTTCACCATCTTAACAGATTTCCTCGAGGTGATGAATGAACAAGCCAATGTCCTTGTCCAGAAACTTGAAAAGCATGTGGACAAAGAGCCATTTGATTGCTTTGTATATATCACACGATGTGCCCTTGATGTAATCTGTGGTACGTTCGGATGTTCAGTCTAGTGCTTGTTATAAAAAACATTATTATAATTGAAGTCTGCAAATTTCAAATATTATGTTGGGTGAGTGACATACTGTATATTGTGTTACATGACCAAAATAATTCCTTCGCTTATAACAATGTATAGTATATCACAGAAGTGAGTACCCCCCTCACATTTTATAAATATTTTGATATATACATCCCCTCACATTTCATAAATATTTTGATACAGCTTTTTATGGGACAACACTGAAGAAATGACACTTGGCTACAATGTAAAGCAGGGAGCATACAGCTTGTATAACAGTGTAACTGTGCTGTCCCCTCAAAATAATGCAACACACAGACATTAATGTTTAAACCGCTGGCAACGAAAGTGAGTACACCCCTAAGTGACAATGTCCAAATTGGGCACAAAGTGTCTATTTTGAGTGGCCACCATTATTTTCCAGCACTGCCTTAACCCTTTCGGGCATAGAGTTTACCAGAGTTGCCACTGGAGTCCTCTTCCACTCCTCCAAGACGACATCACAGAGCTGGTGGATGTTAGAGACCTTGTGCACCTCCACCTTCCGTTTCAGGATGCCCCACAGATGCTCAATAGGGTTTAGGTCTGGAGACATGTTTGGTCAGTCCCTCACCTTTACCCTCAGCATCTTTAGCAAGGCAGTGGTCATTTTGGAAGTTGGTTTGGGGTCATTATCATGTTGGAATACCGCCCTGCGGCCAGTCTCTGAAGGGAAGGAATTATGCTCTGCTTCAGTATGTCACAGTGCATGTTGGCATTCCTGGTTCCCTCAATGAACTGTAGCTCCCCAGTGCTGGCAGCACTCATGCAGCTCCAGACCATGACGCTCCCATCACCATGCTCGACTCTAGGCACAACACACTTGTCTTTTTACTCCTCACCTGGTTGCCACCACACACACTTGACACCATCTGAACCAAATAGGATTATTTTGGTCTCACAGGACCACAGGACATGGTTCCAGAAATCCATGTCCTTAGTCTGCTTGTCTGCAGCAAACCGTATACGGGCTTTCTTGTGTATCATCTTAGGAGAGGCTTCCTTCTGGGACAACAGCCCTGGAGACCAGTTTGATGCGGTGTGGTCTGAGCAGTGACAGGGTGACCCCACCCCCACCCCTTCAACCTCTGCAGCAATGCTGGCAGCACTCATATGTCTATTTTCCAAAGCCAACCTCTGGATATGATGCTGAGCATGGGCACTCAGCTTCTTCGGTCAACCATGGCGAGGCCTGTTCTGAGTGGAACCAGTCCTGTTAAACCGCTGTTTTGGCCACCGTGCTGCAGCTCAGTTTCAGGGTTTTGGCAAACTTCTTATAGCCTAGGCCATCTTTATGTGGAGCAACAATTCATTTTTTCAGATCCTCAGATAGTTCATTACCATGAGGTGCCATGTGGATCTTCCAGTGACTAGTCTGGGAGAGTGAGAGCGATAACACCTGCTCCTCCTTCACACCAGAGACTTGTGACACTAACGGGTCTCATGACACCAGGGAGGGAAAATGGCTACTTGAGCCCAGTTTGGACATTGTCACTTAGGGGTGTACTCACTTTTGTTGCCAGTGGTTTAGACATTAATGGTTGTGTGTTGCGTTATCTTGAGGGCACATTTGCACTGTTCTACAAGCTGTATACTCATTGCTTTACATTGTAGCCAAGTGTCATTTTTTCATTGTTGTCACATGAAAAGATATACTAAAATATTTATGAAATGTGAGGGGGTGTACTCACTTCTGTGATATACTGTAGCTACATGATGACATCCACATTGAGCACATTCTGTTTTGACACTATTTTTATTCCTGGCTCTTTGCGTAAATGCTGGTGGATTTTGACATTGTATAGAACATGAATTTAAAATCTAAAGCAATAGTGTGGGAAAGAATTAGATGTATTCAGGTGGTACCTAAATGCATGTGCTGGGAAAAGGGAAGAGGGAATATTGGGAGAATAGCTCTTCTCAGACATTTTGAAATTCTATGCATGGAGAACCATTCCTTCCACCACAGCTTTTCTGCGCTGAGTAGCAAGTGTGAAGGGGGATTGTGAGCACAGCCACCTGAAAGTGGTTACAGTCCCACCCCCCTGCACAAGATCAGTCTTCCTGAACAGGGATAATAGCTGTAATGATTGTACAAAAGCATTTGAATGCAAATTGGTGGTGTATAGTACCTTATTGGAAGAATGTGTAGCAGGTGTCCAGGTTCATTTCCACAGCGTCTCCAGTTTGGGCAGGGAAAGACCACTGCCTGAAGTCCTGGACAATCATTGTCAGCCTGTGATGAAAGACTGGCCAGCAGTCTGACTTTGTTATAAGACAGCTCACTGTGTTCTTCTTATTGCCCATTGTCAGTTTGTTCCTGAATCTTCTTTACCAATTTATCTCTTTTCTACATCTAGAAACGGCGATGGGTAGGAATGTAGGTGCACAGCACAATAAAGATTCTGAGTATGTCCAAGCTGTCTATAGGTAAGTGTAGACGTGATTACTGAGTTCGCATGATTTCAATCCCTGTCACCATTTTTTGCATGAACAGAGCTTCATATGAAGGGTTAGTTATCTGTAAAGCTATAGAAGGGCTCTTCCTACTTATCTGTCACATTCTTCCAGTACTGCTCTAGCTGTAGGGCTATGGCATACATTTAATATTGAGCTAGTGACTGATTGCTAGCATATTGACACTTAATTCTGCAGCTGAGAAATGTGAAGGGTTTCCTAGTCTAGTTCAAGTTATGAGGATACAAAGAAGTCTGCAGGGGGAAGAAAAAATAACTGTCATCTCAGTTCCAGTAGTAAAAGCAGTCGTGCCAGCAGGACAATCCCATTGGATCTTTTCTGTCTGTTTCAGGTGTAAACTATTTTATAACCTTTGTTACATAATACCCCATATTGTTCAGTTCAGTTGCAACACATTAAGGCTAGCTGTTGTACTTTATAACACATCTGAAGAAGAATAAACATCCTTGTTGCTTGTCCTAGGATGAGTGATATAATTCATTTCAGACAGAGGTCTCCATGGATTTGGCCTGACCTTTTCTACAGTATGTGCCAAGAAGGAAGAGACCATTCCAAGTATCTGAATATACTTCATACCTTTACAGATAAAGTAAGCTGCAGCATTTTCCTTTTACATAACACTGCACAGATGAAAATTCCAAATATTTCAACTAAAATTGGCAATCACGTTTCTTATAGATTCAGAGACAGGAATTTATGTGACTCTCTTCATTAATCTATCACATTGTTAGTCCATTATGTAGTGAAGGTGACATATTTGGGCTTTATTCTTGTATGTTCAACAGGGTACGGTATACTGAGAAATAATTGCTGAACCCTTAGGCTGCTTAGTGAGTCTGGATTTGAACACGTTAGCCCAAAACCATATCTCACTGGATCTAGTTTTTTACTGCCATCATCAGAAATATCTCTTTACAAGTGGCCATACTGGAAACTTAGTATTAGAGGTGTGCCATCTAGGAATTCCCCAAACAATTACATGCAGACATCTTCATTTAATTTATTTTGACATGAACGAGGACTCTTTCCAGGTCTTCTTTAACACCTTCTTTTTATACTGTAGTGCTTCCTCAGAGAAACCTGCTGTAATGCTTTGGGGGGGGGCATTCTTTGGGAGGTACCCCCTCCATAACGGCAATGAGACTAGTGCCCTCAGGAAGCATTGTGGCTGCTTCCTCCCAGAAAGCCTTGCAGCAGACAATAAAGGATTAGAAAGGGGACAAGGAGGAGGCTTTGGCCTTCTCCGGGCCAGTGAAATGATTGTATGTGCCGGTGTATGTTTGTTGGCTGGAAGTCCCAGAATTCTACCCGGCAAATTCTTGGAAAATTCTGGAAAAAACCCAAACACAAAAATGGCATACTCCTGCTTGGTGTTCATTCAAGGTATACTACAATTAGGAAATGATCTTTGCTATTCTTCCCTTTTATGGTCAAACATTTTACGGCACAGGAATGGAATATTTAACCCTCTGAATGGCGTCTCCCATCAGCCGTCAACCATAGTGAGGGTTGATGGGAATTGTCATTCGGCAACAATTGGAGGGCTGCAAGTTACTTCTCCTAGTTTTAGAGTAAAGAGGAGGAATAACTTGAGAGGAGCACTAGTTTTCTGTTTGTTTGTTTGTTTGTTTCTGTAGTACTGATCTCAGGCACTGTCATTCTCTGAATCAATGCTAGAAGTTTTTTGTTTGTTTGTTTGTTTTTGTAGTACTGATCCCAGGCACTGTCTTTCTCTGAATCAATGCTAGAGACGAGATCTCAGCTAGTTTAGAGTAGCTATTTCCGTGAGGACTTGTCATTTTAAATTCTTTGGAGGAGAAAGTAAAGAGTCCTTGATACATTTATCCCATGGCATAGCCTGACTCACATGATGTGTTTGCATTTTAGGAGGTTTTACAGAGATAGTAAATTATCTACAACAATGGTTCCCATTCTTGGGTAATCCAGGTGTTCTTGGACTGCACCTCCCACATACCTTGACCACTAACTGTGTTGGCTGAGATTTCTGGGAGCTGCAGCACAAGGACGCTCGGGTTACCCAAGGCTGGGAATTAAGTGTGGTCCTTACTCTATATGTTTTTATGTAGAAGTCAAGTGCCTCTTTCAGTCTGCAGAGTTATTTTAAAAGTAGTGCTGGTTATTTTATCACTTTTCTGTTTATCAGCACAACGCTCAGTTCTAAGTCTAGGCTACAGAAGATATAACTAATCTCTTTATATGGCTCTGTACAGGGCATACTTTGGATTATGCAGCCTCAGATATGAAGGGTGCTTTTGTTTTGTTTTGCATACTGAAGGTTATTGCAGAAAAATCTTGGGAACTGAAAAAACGGGAGCAACAGAAAGGTGATGCTGTCAACCTCGGTGTGCAAAGCCAGGGCAAAGTGAGAAAAGCTTTCCTTGACATGCTTCTGAATGCCACTGATGAAGATGGAAAGAAATTAAGCTACCTAGACATTCGAGAGGAAGTTGATACGTTCATGTTTGAGGTACAGAATGTGCCATACAGAAAACAAGCATTAAAAATGGCTAAGAGACTGTGCTCAGGCTCTTGGGCCCAGTGAGACTACCATTGCTGTACTGGTTTGGGAATTCTGGAAGTTGTGTCCCAAAAATAGGTGCCCAGAGTGGTGCAGTAGATAGAGTGATGGACTAGGACTCAGAAGACTGGGGTTTGAATCCCTGGGCAGCCATGGGAATTCACTGGGGGAGAGTGGTAAAACCATGCCTTAAATGTACCAGTATGTCTTATCTTTATGGTTGCTATAAGTTGAGATTCAGTAGTTAATAACCCACAGCCCAAGTTTTTCTGGCCTTTTAGGTGGTGGTGCCGCTTCAGTGTACCTTTGGGAAGTTATAGTCAAAAAAAGTAACTTTCTCTAGAGGCCTGGAAAAGAACCCTCTTGTAGCCCCTACTGTATCTCAGATGATGTTGAAACCCAGAGAAAGATTTCTGTTGAGGACACCAAAGTATGAGCAGGCAAAGTTCATCCATGTCATTTATTTATTGTTTTTTTTAAACTCAGCTTGCCTGTAAAAGGCCCAGAGTGACTTAGAGTTATCTCTTTTTTGTCCTCGTGGCAGCTCCGTGACATGGGTTATCATAATAACCTTACTCTGTTCAAATATTATGTGAGACCAAGATGAGCATGGAAAAGTTGTTATACCTCACTCCTGTTTTCATTGGCCTACCAGAATGCTGTTTTTCCTTCTAGCCCAAGACTTACATTCATAGCATAAACATGAATGTTATGACATTAGTCTCAGGGGAGCACTGAAAAAAACAACATGGTTTGCTCATATTGCAAGAAATGGCTGCAAATGGTCGCTTCACTCGCAGTGGCCTCAGCCCTTGAGGGGAACTGAAAGCCCCACTTGTGCATTTGTCCTGGATTACATGGTTGTGCAAGTACTGCTCAAGCAGTTGCCTAATGGCTTAGACAACTGCTTCTGTGAATTGTTTTCAGATGCCACCCTTGTGCTAAGTCTGAAAAGTGGGTCATAGGCCAGTGAATCCTGTTTGTCCAGTGGGAGAAAGGTGGGTACAAATTAAATTACAGTAGTAAAGAGACTATAAGGCCAGGAGGTTCCTTCTACTGCTTTAGATGGTGCTCTTGCACCTCCAGTACCTGACCGGTCTAACACTTCAGTCTTCTTCAGAAGCACCAGTGCAGGCAAGGCAAGCACATTCTCATTTGCCCATCTTTTAACTTTTTCCCACTAAATGTGGATTTGAAACAGACCAGTGTCCAGTGTTTGTAGTGGTTGCAATCGTAGTAGTTAGAGATGGAGGTATTCGTATATGAATATGATTAGTCCCACACAGCTGGACTTAATGAGGGGCAAGACTGTCCACTCACATGTCTGGTGATGGCAGCAGCCTCGGCCAGCTTTCCAATCGCTTCCGGAGCACTGCTCTCTTTCCATTCATCTAGCCACTCAGCAGCCATGCAGGGAGATTCGTCCTCCCTCCCCCTGATTGGAGTTGGCTAGATGAGCGGAAAGAGAGCAAGGGCTCCGGAATCAATTGGAACGCTGACCAAGGCTGCTGCCACCACCAGACATGTGAGTGGACAGTCCTGCTCCAGGGGCCGGACCCTCATTAAGTCCAGCTGTGCAGGGGTATTCATATTCATATACGAATACCCCCATCTCTATTAGTAGTAGTAGTAGTAGTAGTAGTAGTAGTAGTAGTAGTAGTAGTAGTAGTAGTAGTAGTAGTAGTAGTTCTTGTTTGAAAACATCAATACACAAATGCATTCCAGACACTTTCTTGTGTATGTAATTCCAGTGAGGTTACCTTTTCAAAGGATAATTGAGCTGGAGTGTCAGACACACTTGTCTGGAAGTAAGTTCCTTGAATTTTAATGTGTCTCATTTTTGACACAAACATGTGTAAGATTGCTTTGTAAAAGAATTGCAACAGTTTGTTCCTTTTGCCCTCTGCTGATTATTGGAGGTACTGAGATATTTGAGGAGAACAAAAGGCCCTGGCTTACTGTTTTGTCCCTCTTATGAATTAATGACTTCCAAAAGTCCCTGTCATTAACAGCTGTCCTCAAGTCTTGCAGAGGACAAGTTTTCTTTATTGGTTTCCTTTATTGAATCAATGCATCTTTTCCTCTTTACCTACTGCCTTAAATTTTTCCTGGTATTCTTGCCTTTTCGAATACATCTTGTCTTTTCATAATATGTCCAAGGTATTATTGCCTCTGTTTAGCTTTTTCAGCTTCTAAGAAGAGTTCAGGTTTGATTTGATCAAGCACCCACTTGTTTTCCTTGGTCAGCTATGGTATTTATAAAGTTCTAGTTCTAGTCACATTTCAAATGAATATATTCCCCCCCCCCCACAAACTTACCTCATTGTCCAGCTTATATATATATATTTCACTTTCTGGCTGACGGGTATACATAAATATTCCACCATGTTTGTAGAAAGATGGCAAAATTCTCCAACAAATCTTCAGAAGTGATTCTCACCATGTTACCAATGGGAACAAGTTTTGACAGTCTGACCACTATTTGTCAGGGAAAGGCAGGCACCGAAAGAATAGTAGATAAATGTTGGATATAATTTTGTAAAGTGGCATTCTATTTCTAGGGGAATAGCTGAAATAAAAATCTCAAATGTCTGCAAAGGAAATTTTAAATGTGCACTTGTTATTCTTGTTCAGCACCATCTCTGGACCTTCCAGTTGTTACCTGGGCATCTTGTCTCCTCTGCAGATACTTACAGTGCATGTTGTTCCATAAAGGTTCTGTAGCAGGCTTGAGAGAGGGCAGATTAAGGTTCACTTCCGGGGGCGGGGGGAGAAGTGAAGCTAGTGGGTAGAGCAAGCTGCACAGAGTATCCTTAGAAGAGGATGGTAAACCACTTCTGAATACTTATCTGGAAAATCCTGTGAAGAGTTGCCATAACGCAGAGTTGATTTGACACCACATTATCATTATTGGTGCTGGGTTTGTTTTACCACTTACTGTATCATCTAGTTTTGCAAACATTTGTGTTCCTTAATGAATGAGGCTTCCATTTTTTCTGTTTCACTGGGCACCAAGGTTTAGCAGTTCCTTTTGTGATATTTTGACCTTATTGTAACATTGCGAAAGGGAAAAGGCATGTTGACTTAGGTGTTTTTTGGGGGGGGCCTCCCCTGGCTTTTACATTATGTGAGGTTTTGGCCCTCCCCTGGCTTTTACATTATGTGAGGGTTTTTTTTAAATTTTGTTTATATTGTCTGTTGTATTACAGTTTCCTCCCAGATACTTGTTTTCTCCCATTTAACTCCCACTTCCCATGTCACTCTTGAAAACACTTTTAGAACCACTTCCAGAAGAAAATATTGATCATGGTCCCATCAAAGTTAAACACTTTGAAAGCCCACTGATTTCAATGGGATGAGTAATCTCTTCTTTTTCCATTGATCTTGACTGGCACTGTGGGATGTTTGAACAGTGGCAGTCTGTAGCAGCAGAGGATAATTGTGGTCTACTAGAGTTTGTTTTTGTTTTGTCTATAAATCCTATCGATCTCAGCCATTGTAGCCAGTGGTGAGAGT